AAAAGGAAAGCAAAATGGGGTCAACTTGGAACACTTATACAAATAGTTCTTCCGAAAAAGGAGAGCGAATCGCAAGCTTAGCATTGTTTCCCTGCATCAACTGCCTCTACTTCATCCAAATTAGCAACATCTGCTGCTACTGCGGCCCTGCTCGCCGCTGCCCTGCCCACTATGCCGCCTCCAACGGCTCCACCCACACCACCCATCAGTGCAGCCGCTACTACCTCCCCAGCTTCAATTTTATCTTTCCTAAGTGCCTGCTCTGCTGCTGCGACTCCAGCACTTACGCCAGCTCCTACAGCAGCCCCAACGCCTGCCGTTGCTGCAGCACCTAAGGAAGCTGCAGCACCTCCTGTTGCTATGGTTGCGGCAACTGCGGCAGTGGTAATACCTGCACTTATCGCTGCCTTCCCCATATTCTTTCTTAGTTCTTCTGCTCTTTCTGTATTTCCTTTGCCAGCCTCAACTGCTGCGTAGACACCTGTGCCAATAACGCTATTTTCCACATAATCGCACCATCTTTGGGCAGCTGTTTTAGTATCTCCGCCTCCAATTACATCCCCTAATGAATTTCCTGCCGTCGCCAGTTCGTGAAAGACGGGAACATTTCCAAAAGCCCCCCCTCCAAGTAAAGCAGATCCAGTAGCTCTTCCCATTCCTTTTCCTAATTCGATGGCTCTCTCTTCGTTTCCACGAGCCGCTTCAACAGCCGCATAAGCCCCGGAGCCAATCACACTCTGCTCTGCATATGTTTTCCAACGGTTAGCAGCTCTATCAGGGTCACCAGTGATAGCATCTCCAAGGGACTGAAATAATGTTGTTACTTCGTGAACAACCGGTAAATTGGCCATTCCTTCCTCTCCTTCTATAGAAACTTTAAGGAAATCAGAAAGAAATTTTGTCAGTGTTACAGTTAGGACACTCAAACCATGAGCACCTGATTTTTTTTTGTTCATATTTTCAATCCTTTTGTCTGGATAAGAGGTCTCATTCAGTTAACAAAAAAATATGTGCAAAAAAAAATAATGATCAAGTGTTCACTGTAACATATTATGCCCATTAGATCGCTTGTCTTATTTCAGTAAACACGGAAGGTATTACACTGCAAAACTTATTATTTTTTAGGGAAAAACTTCAAATATTTTGTAATTGATGCGATGTAAAAACCAAATACTACACAAGGAATTGAAAATCAGCCCTCTGCTAAATTCCTTCCTTACAAAACCAGCATTGTTTTTGTTAGGAATTTTAAATAATACTTTTTGTTGGAACTATAGTAAGACATTGTTAAGACGTATTTCATGACATTAACAGGGTTTTCCATCTGTTTCTTGTAGCAATACGGTATTACTAGCTAACTACTTACAAGTTCTTAGCTAAATAAAAGCTACTTTTTGTTACTGTTACTAGCTAAAAGTAAAATAACATAATCGAAAATAAAACATAATATAATAAGCGCTCAAGCTTAAAATTGTTATGTATTTATAATTATTTTCCGTTCACTGCTCATGGTTTCCTTTAATTCTCTTTAGTTTACGTTCAGCTGCTTGCGTTGGTGTCTGATTAAAATACAATTCCTCGCTTTTCCCAAATCTCGAGACTTATCCTGAATTCATTTTCCCATGCAAACTCTCAGCATTTCTTGATATTCCTGGGATCCCAAACCAGAATACAATCCATTGTCTCCTACTCGCATTTACAGTTTTATTTTCGAACAGTGAGAGTGGTTTTTTTGATAGCCAGTTTTCAAAGAATCACCATTTTAATGGTCGGTGTTGATAGATGTAGAAACCATTACAGTGCTAAGGTTTCACGTTAGCTATTGTTGTCCAGTTCAAGTATAAACTTGAACTTCCCTTAAGGCAGGAGACCCTTAACTACAAAACGGTTGCTACCGATGACTTCTAATCGTCGTATCTTGGGCTCCCTTAGTATCCTGGGTTTAGTTTTTGGCCATGTTTGTTCTTTGGGAGGTTGCCTTCAGTTTTGGTAGTCATGACCATATTGGGTAAGTCACGTGATCAGAACGCGAAACCGTATAAACTCACACAGCTTACATCTTTCTCCGTTGAAACCAACGTTAATGGGAAGAGTGTAATGAGAAGCAAAATTTGTAGCATGGATATGTTGAAATTCGCGTTAATGAAAATGCTATGACGTCATAAAGTTTTTGTCACGTCATAACTTCTTTAATAACATGAATTTCAACAAATCCATGCTACAGATTTTGCATCTAAATGCACTTTACCCGTTGGCTTTTGTTTCATTGGAGAAAGATGTAAGCTGTGTGAGTTTATACGGTTTTTGTGTTCTGATCACGTGACTTACCAAATATGGTCATGACTACCGAAAGTGAAAGCAATCTCTTATGGAAGAAACATGGCTAAAAACTAAACCCAAGATACTAATGGATTCCAAGATATGCTGGTCTGAAGTCATCCATAGCAACCATATTGTAGTTAAGGGTCTCCCCCCTTAACTGAAGCGAAAACACATCTCCACTCGAAGCTGCGCTTGGCTGAAATGGCACACTTGACAACGTATGACCGAAAAGGGGAGGGTGAAATTAAATATGAACAATGGGGCAAGTTTACAGTAAGGTACAGTAATAAAGCGAACTCTTCTAGCGTTTTGACTTAAGGAATATATTCATATTGTTTTAGTATAAATTTGTCTTTTTTATAGTTATTATGAAGTAGTCCCTAATATGTCGGCGTCATAGGTATTTTTTCATTATATTTCATTTGTTTTAATATGATTGTCAAAATAGTATTGTAAATTAATCCAGAATACCCTTTTTAGGAGGATTAACCCTATCAATAGCCGACATCAGTAGAGTTTTAGCTTTCTCAATCATCACGGATGAGAGCGAATGGCGAGAGTATCGTTTTCTCGAGTTATGTACCCGAAATATAGTTTTATGTCCTCACTCATTTTAAACAGAGAAAGTGGTCATTTTCGGTGGTCAGTTTTCAAAGATGACTAATAGCCAGTATTTATACATGCAAAGATTCTACAAACTGTGTTAAGGTTTCGCGTTAGCCACTGTCATGAAGCTCTGTATCAGAGATTACAGATAAACACTTCAATCCTTTTGGCCGTAACAGGAAAAATACATTCGACAAATTAAATATGAATTTTTTCTGAACTTATCTTAAAAATAGCGCTGGCTTAAATAAACATAAGGTAGAGTGTGTGAAGGTTTAATTAGATAAATAGAGGAAGAACTTAAAGTTGTGCCTACCTTAAAGTAAAAACACGTCTTCACTCGAGCTGCACTTGGCACAATTGAAAAATTTAACGACTTAAACAAGTGTTATCACAAGAGAGAGAGCGCAACCTGTGACCAACAGGGGAGGGGTGAATATAGATAAGATGTCTATAATAAGGCACAATAAAAAGCATTTAAATTACGTTTTAGAAAAACGATTTAGATCGTTTAAGTAAAAAGAAAAACTTTTCACTATATATATAGTACCTAATCAGTATGTCTCCACAGTGTATAACATTTTTTTTTTTGCTTTTTGTGTTATTTTGTTTGTTTCTTCGGTTTCCCGTTGATATTGAGCTTTCACATACTGCCCATTAAGTGCACCTTCCACCGTTAAAACGGTATGTTAGAATTATGTCTTCCTGTTTTCATCACACTTCTAGCTATTGTGTTTCCCGGTCACGTCACAAGTAGATAAATGAAGGGAACAACATTCAAAACATTTTTTTGTAACCGCACCTGTGCATTCTTCAAGAGGCACTGTTCACTACTCTATCGACAAAGCAGGTGTCTGTCTCAGGGATTTTAAGAGGCATTCTGCAAATAAGATCTCTACCTATCTCAGCCTTTATGTTTTTCGTGCTACTGCTTGCTGTTTTATTCCGGGTCATGATTTGTTGTATTTGTCTCAAATTCAAAGTATTTGTTAAATAAGATTTTGATGACACGCCATAGCGGAAATAAAACCTGAAGCAGCACAAAGAAGAATCATTCTATTTCAGATAAAATCTGCCGATTCATTCAGTCATTCATTCATTCATTCATTCATTCGAGTAGCTAGTGAGTATTATATACGCTGTGAGGCCAGACCTTTTTGAGAAAGCTACCATGATTCTGCTATTGTGTAGGTCTTACATAGGTTCAACAGAGAAATCTGAAAATTTAACGAGAAATTTTGTCTTGAGCCCAGTCTTCTTATAAAACTAACAATCAGCTGAGCGTTGAACTGACAACAGGCAAATAAAAAAAACATCATTCGCGGCTATTATTCATTTTTTATTCACTTTTTAGCGTGTTCCTCGTGGAACCAAGCGAAGCAATTTTGTTTTCATTAGCCGACAACCGAAAATATATATATATCCTGGGTGTTTGCTGAAAAAATTTTACTTTCAAAATCATCAAGAATGACAAAAAATTAGTAAACCTGACAGGATTTTTAATATTCCAGTTCGCTTAAAATATTCAAAATTCCCCCTTTAGCTCGAGGTTCCCAAAAAGTAAAAGAAACTAGGAAACAATAAAACAATCTTCAAAATATAAAGCGTACTAACCGGCCCGGATTTATCTTTATTAAGATATTAGTTCCAATAAATATACAAGCTGAAGCAGCACAAATAGCACTTTTTGTTTTAGTCAAAATCCCCGTTTTATGACATTAGTTTCGTTTCCTCAGCTCAGTAATAACTCAAGTTGGGAAATGCTTTTGCATTAGTTCCCTTTTTTTTTTTTTTGTAAATCATTTCTGATTGTCCAGCTTCAGTAGTTATTAGTGTGCGTAAGCAATGTATGCTGTAAATTAAAGATGAACGCTTGTCGAAAGTGCACGCGATTACTATTGTGTAGAGTATTAAGCCTTGAGCATATAAATTTAAAAATAGTCAAAATTCCACTAAAAATCTTTAAATCATACGTAGGTTTACCAGGAAATGTGGCTTTCATTTTAACAAACGATAAAAGAAAAAAAACATTGTAAACGCAACAGGAAATTTCGCCAGTAGAAAAAGAAAATTGGAGGAACATTCGATATAATTACGACAGTTTCTGTCAGTTAAAAAGAATTCTAACTTTTAAATAGATACACATATCATTCACCTCTATTATTCATGCTTATTGGCTTCTCCTATAGTAATTTGGCTGTTTTGTGTCCTTCAGTAAAAAGCTTGGAATGTTAAGGCCGGAATTATTATCCCTAGGAACCAAAGGAAACACTCTTATTCTAAATAGCCGACACCAAAACAATAATTCCATCCTGAATGTTCAACAGAAGAGATGTAGCTTTCTCAAACATCAAGAATGAACCAGAGTTAGTAAACGTAACATGATTTTTGATTGTCCGTTTGAAAATATCTAAAATTCCGCTTTCTCTCTAGCTTCCAGAAAATAGGTAACATTGAAATAATTATCAAAATACGAAATTTTAACATAAAGTTTATCCAAAAGTTAATTACCCTTTTAAACATAATGTTCATTGTAGGTATTTTAATTAAGGTTTCAACCAACAAGGAGTGAGATTATAGTGTACTCGAATTATGTATCCGAAATATAGTGTTATGTCCTCACTAATTTTGAACAGAGAAAAAAGTCATTGTTGGTGGTCATTTTTCTAAAGAATCAACCGACCAATGGCCGGTATTTATACAAAGATTCTATAAGTGTTAAGATTTCGCGTGAACCAGGATTATCATCTAGCTCAGAATAAGAGATTATAGATAGACACCTCAATCATTCTGGTACCCGAAAAAAAAACATTCGACAAATTAAATATGGTACAGTTTTTGAACTTAATTAGAAAATAATTCAAAAATAACGTTAACTAAGAAAAAAACGGCGTTAACTGGAGTGTACGCAAGTTTAAATACGTAAATTAAGGAAGAACTTAAACT